GATTGTGCTGAATATTATTTATACTGATAGAAGAGAATATTTGTAGCTTAGGTTTGAATGGTGGAGTCCTTGGTGCTCTCGAGCTTGGTAGTTTTCATGCAGACGTTTCATTACCAAACTAGGTAATGCTATCAGTACATGGAGATTATTGGGAATTCCCTTCCCTGCAGTGGTTTCCAAACTGGCATGTTCTCTAAGAGAATCTGTAAAATTCACTGCCAGACTGAAGCACATAGAATTGTGGAAGGCCCTGCAGACATCTCCTTCCTGCATGGGTGGCGTTCTAGATTCCTCAACCCCAATGCACTTTGTTTATGCAACAATGCACAACTTGAAATTCCACTTTGCTGCTGCATGTCCTCTTCTCTGTCTGTTCATGATTTTTAAGGATGTCTATTAATTTTAACAGTAGATAACAATAGTGTGTGTAGTAAGCATGTACAGGTAGTCCTCGACTTACGACCATGGTTGAGCCCAAAAGTTACGTTGCTTAGTGAGTTTTACCCCATTTTATGACCTTTCCTGCCACAGTTGTTAAATGAATCACTGCAGCTGTTAAGCCAATTCTGCTTGACTTTGCCTGTTGAAATCCAGCTGGAAAGGTCACAAACGGTGATCCTGGGACACTGCAAAAATTGTGAATACATGCTGCTTTCCACATATCTGAATATTGATCATGTGACCAAGGAGATGCTGGTTGTAAGTCACTTTTTTCAGTGTTGCCATAACTTTGGACAGTGACTAAACGAATGGCTGTAAGTCGAGAATTACCTGTATGGGACATTCCTCCCAAGGTTTCCTAACCACTGTTTAATGTGCTTCTGCTTATTTTGTCCTTTTCCTTGCAGCCTTGCTATGAGAAGGTGAAACGTTGGCTAGCGGAGAACATCTTTGCAATGGGCATTTTTGCTGCCTGTATCATTGTTGTCCAGGTGAGATGGTCAAAGCACAAGTGGTAGATGAAGTAATTTTGACCAGTGTTTTTCTCAATCTTCGCTGCTTTAAGATATGTGGACTTCAACTCCCAGAATTCCTCATTCAGCATGTTGGCTGGGGAAATCTGGGAGTTGCAGTCCAAACATCTTAAAATTGCCATGGTTAAGAAACACTGTATTAGATATCTAGCAAGATTTCCTTGCACGTTCTCTATTCTAACCACATTATAGAGTAGGGGTGGGGATCGATGGCCCTTTTATGACTTGTGGATTTCAACGATACTTAAATATGAGCCAGCAGTGTGCGGCAGCAGCCAAAAAAGCTAATACAATCCTTGGTTGTATAAACAGAGGCATAGAACCAAAATCATGTGAAGTATTAGTACGACTTTATAAAGCCTTAGAAAGACCACACCTGGAATACTGCATCCAGTTTTGGTCACCACATTACAAAAAAGATGTTGAGACTTTGGAAAAAGTGCAAAAAGAAAAGTATCTAAGATAATTAAAGGCCTGGAGACAAAAACATATGAAGAATGGGTTGCAGAATTTGGGTTTGGCTAGCCTAGAAAAAAGAAGGACTAGGGGGGACATGATAGCAATATTCCAGTGTTTGAGAGGATGCCACAAAAAGGAGGGGGATTATTTTTCAAAACACCAGAGGGCAGGATAAGAAACAATGGATGGAAACTAATCAAGGAGAGAAAAAAACTAGAATTAAGGACAAACTTCCTAACAATGAGAACAATTAACCAGTGGAACAGCTTGCCTTCAGAAATTGTAGGTGCTTCATCATTGTAGGTGGACATTAGCTTATCTGAAATGGTATCCTGCTTGAACAGGGGGTTGGACTAGAAGACCTCGAAGGTTCCTTCCAGTTCTATTACAATTGATTGATTAATTGAATTCCTGAGCCAGCCATGCTGGTTCAGGAGTTCTGGGAGTTGAAGTCTATGTCATAAAAAGGACATCATTCCCCACCCCTGACATAGAACAAGGGAATGCAAGGATCTCTCCCAATCTCTTAGGAAGGTTTTCCCCCCCTGAATTTCTCAAAATTATACCTGAGAATCTGAGTGCACAATTTTAAGTTGAATGAGGAACAAGCAAAAACAGGCTTGCAGTCTTCCTAGACTTAATGTACTTTTTTTTTTTTTTTTGCTTAATCTTCTTTAGCCTAAGACAGGGGTAGGCAACTGTGGCCCTTTTACAACCTGTGGACTTCAACTCCCAGAATTCCTGAGACAGCTTGACTGTCTCAAGAATTCTGGGAGTTAAAAGTCCACAGGTTGTAAAAGGGCCACAGTTGCCCACCCCTGGCCTAAGATAAAGCAATGGACGACATTTAAATCTTTTCCTGCTCAGAGGATACCAAACATCACCTCAATGTCTTCTGTTGCACTTGGAAGATAGAAAGAAATACGTACAATAAAGTGTGCTTCTTTCTTTTAAAAAATGGAGGCTACCTATCATGAGAAACAGAGCAAACAGCAGGCAGAAGGAAAGCCAGTTTACAGCTCATTAAGGTTATGTAGGTTCCATAAAGACAGAATCTTTATATTTAGATCATAATATAATAGGAAAGGTGCGCAAGACAGCAATGGAATTAGAAAAACAGTATGTAGATTAAATATAAAAATAATGGAAAGGATTTAAGTTTTTGGCCAGCTGGTTTCCAAGATTTCATTAAGCATACATCATAGTATTTATCTGGGTTTTAACATATCTAAGACGGAAAACTTTCAATGGCCACTGGATGGCAGGAAAGAGGTAGCTTCAGTATTCCTCCGCTGGCATCTAATGTTTGCATAATCTTTACAATAGTCATAGCCTAGCTGCAGATCTGATAGAAAGAAGATAATAGAATTGGCCTTAAAGCTACTTTTTAAATGTGACCAACACCAGAGAGAATATTCAGCTCACTAAGATTTGTTAGGCTTCCATCTAGCCTTTTCCTTCAGGAGCTCAAGGCAGCATATATAGTGAAACCTTCCTGCCTTTTTATTCCCACAATCTCTACTGGCGGAGGAGTGGCCCAAAACTGCCAGGGAATTTCCTTGGCTGAGGTGAACTTGAACCCGAGTCTCCCACTGTGTCAATTCAAATCCAGCACCTGGCTGTTATACCTCCAGCCAGATCCCTGTAATTTTCAACCCATGTGGAGAGTGCAAGACTGAGAAAAGTTGTGTTACTATGGTAACATGTACTACCTGTTCTTGTACTATCCAAAATTCCACTAAGGCAGCAAGATGGCTGGTAGAGAAAGTGCAAAGAAGGGCCCTCCCTTCTCCAGTCACTTTCTAGTTAAATCTGGTTAAACGTAGTTTGAAAGAGAGGCAGGAAAGTATACCTTCTGCACCCATCCATTGCTGCTCAAAACTGAAGATGAAGTAGGTCATATGGGGCTGGGCTTAGAACAGTGTTTCTCGATCTTGGCAAATTTAAAATGTGTGGACTTACAACTCCCAGAATTCCTGAGCCATCACAGGGATTGAGAATCCTGGGAGTTGAAGTCCACACATTTTAAAATTACTAAGAATGAGAAGCATTAGTTTAGAATATGATCAGTTAGCTTCTACATGTCAAGCAGTAGGATTACTTCAAGGCCCAAGACAAGAGCTGGCAGTACCTGCTTGTGTTTTGGAGCAGCACAAGGAACAGGAATTTCCAAGGGGACAGTATAGATAAACTGGGTTAGGGCTTTTGTTCTTTTTCTGAGTAAATCTTTCTCTGTTCCTTTAGGTCTTGGGCATCGTGTTCTCCATGCTGATGTACTGCCAAGTTCGGAGGGTAGAGAAATACTATGACTGACTCCATCCAAGTCCATTATTTGCCCTTTCAATCTTGGGGACATGAGATGCAGGTGGATCAAGAGCAGTTTGCTCTTCTGGAGGTTTTTTTTTTTTTTTTTTTGCATTGGTCTCTTCCCACATCTTTCTGTTTCTATTCTTCAGGCGAAAGCCAGTTCTGACACTTGGTAGGTTCATACATACCATGCATGCAAGAGGGGCCTTCTCTTTCCAAAATAACCAGTTCTCCTGAAGAACTTTGTCTCTGTTTCTATTGTTCATAAGTTTTAAGTCCTAAGCAAAGCTCTTCTTTACACTTTGACTTCTCCCTATATTTTATAATGTAGCCCCTCCAATCTCCTGCTTTGTATATAACAAAAATATACCAAGTACCAATAAAACAGTATTTATCTTTTAGAAACTGCATTGCACCTGTTGTTTCTGGTTTATGTTATGATTTAGTCCTACCTACAACTGAACTTTAAAAAGTCTGGGAGGCTGAGAAAATAAAAACTGGAGATTTGGAAGGTAAAAACGTCTTAGAATTATTCATATTATTCATATCCCATTATAGTTTTCCTTGACAACATTGCAAATGAATTCAATGGAAATGTTCCCATTGAAGACTTTAAAAATAATGGGGAAAGCGGCAGTATTTCATCGAACAAAGTTTCCGTTGAAGCCTTTAAATGTTAGGCAGTTTTAAGAAGTCACCCTCTTGTCTTTTCATATTACGGGTAGTCCTCGACTTATGACAATTGAGCCCAAAATTTCTGTTGCTAAGCAAGACAGTCAAGTAATTTTTGCTCCGGTTTAAGATCTTTCTTGCCACAGTTGTTAAGTTAATCACTGCAGCAGTTAAGTTAGTAACACAGTTGTTAAGTGAGTCTAGCTTCCCAATTGACTTTGCTTGTCAGAACATCACCAAAGGTGATCACATGTCCCCGGGAACAGTGCAACCATCATAATAAATATGAATCAGTTGTCAAGCATTTGAATTTTGATCACATGACCATAGAGATGCTAAAATGGTCATAACAGTGAAAAATGGTCATAAGTTGCTTTTTTCAGTGCTGTTGTAACTGCAAGTGGTTATTAAATGAACTGTTGTAAGTCGAGGACTACATTACTTGGAGTGCAATTTCAGTGTTTTAACTTTCTGGAAACTTCCCTGGTGTTTTTTCTATTTAAATTATTTTTTTCCAACTTGCGCTTCAGAACTCCAAGCCAAAACAGCTGATTTCTACCGTAAAAACTCAAGACAATACAGCAGAAGGAGTTGGTAAAAGACAACTTTATTATTATTATTTTTATTGGCTTATAGGTTGGCAGGAAGGAGAACAAAATATCCTCTCTCTTCCAATTCGCCAATCGTCTTTGGACAAAAATAGAGGGCTTGAGCCAGAAATGGCTCTTGAAAATCTGATACAAAAGTAGGCTGGGTTGGAGTGGGATCAGTCCGAGGCTGTACACAGCCCCTAGACCCTCTTTCGCATCCCACCTGCCACAGGGTGGAAGGACACATTTGCACCAACCTCCCCGAAAGTAAAAAGGACCCTGAAATTCTACTCCTGGAAATGGGGAGAGATTTACATGTGGGAGAAAAGAAAATGAAGAACAGCAAAATGGCATAGAACCCTCCTTCCATTCACTGTTCCTCAAAGGGATGGTTAATTTAAACCAAAGTATAAACAAGCCCACTTCGTGTGCAAAGGATCTTCCTTTAAGACACTTAATTGGGGAGAAAAAAAAAAGGAGATGGAGAATTTCCAATAGCTTGTTGAAGAAAGATCGGTTGGAGAGGGTTGGCGCGGCAGAGGCAAGGCATGGTGGAAGAGCTACTTTTGTCAGGGTGTCTCTAGTGTTCCTGTCTTGTGTGTCATGGTGTGTCAGAAGCCCCTCTCAGAAGGGCTGTTATAGCTAAGGTCAGTGTTTCTCAACCATGGCAACTTTAAAGTGTGGGGACTTCAACTCCCAGAATCACAGCTGGCTAGGGAATTCTGGGAGTTGAAGTCCTCACACCTTAAAGTTGCCATGGTTGAGAAACACTGACTTTTGTATTCAAATCATAGAGGAGGAGGCTTCCCGTTTGGAAAAAAAAGGAGGTAATTATAACCCCTCCAGCCCATCTGTAGTGTGAAATTGAGGTTGCCCATTTTAAATTATAGCTTGTGGGAGCAATGGCTGGAGGAGCGGAGGGCAGAATTTGAACAGTATGGCTTGAGACGAGCTCTGAACCCTGTCTACCGATTTTTGGTAGTGGAGGAAAATGGTGCCGAGGTGGTAGGATCAATGGCCAGATCTATTAATATTTCCTCTGCAGCTTCTGGAAGTCACTCGTATTCAGGCGTGGCCGAGGCAGGTCTCCAAACATCTCTGTGCCATCTGAAACCCGCAGCACCAGAGCTCTCATGCTGGCAGCAATCTTCTCGAGGTCAGGAGACGAATGCTGCAAAAAGAGGAATGGAAGTGAGAAAATGGAGAACTCATTTGCCTTTCCTCCCGCATCTCCAAATTCTTTCGACTCCTTCCCGTGTTCCTGCTGTCACTGATCATGAGAAGCTACCACTATGACTCTGACTTGTCTTCCACCATTACAGGTAGTCCTCAACTTACAACAGTTCATTTAGTGACCGTCCGAAGTTCCAACGGCACTGAAAAAAGGGTTGTGTGACCATTTTTCACACTTATGACCCTTGCAGCATTCCTATGGTCACATGAGCAAAATTCAGACGCTTGGAAACTGATTCATATTTATGATGGTTGCAGTGTCTGCGGTCATGTGACCACATTTTGCAACCTGGTAAGGCAACGGGGAAGCCAGATTCGTTTAACAACTGTATCAGTGGTGGGTTTCCCCTGGTTCGCACTGGTTCTATAGAATCGGTAGTAGAACCGACGGGAGGCTCTGCCCACCAACCCTGAAATCATTAGAATGCTTCTGCACATGTGCGTGGCCCTGTTGCAAACCGGGAGTAAAGGCAAGTAGAACCCACCCCTGAACTGTATCACTGTATCACTCACTAACTGTATCACTAACAACTGTGATAAGAAAGGTCATAAAATGGGGCAAAACTCACTTAGCAAATCTCTCTCTTAGCAACAGAAATTTTGGGCTAAATTGTGGTTGTATGTCGAGGACTACCTGTATTCCTTCTATACCCTTAGGAAGATAAGGAAAACCAACCTGGAAAGCTAGTTTTCTACACAACATACTCCTTGCAGGTAGTCCTCGATTTGCAGTTTAGTGACTGTTTGAAGTTACAACAGCATTGAAAAAAGTGATTTATGACCGATTCTCGCACTTATGACCATTGCAGCACCCCAAGGTCACATGATCAAAATTTGGTTGCTAAACAACAGATGTCTATTTAAGATAGTTGTAGCTAGGTGTGTATGTATCACCTGAAGTTGTGACCTTCTCAGCTGGCTTCCAACAAAGTCAATGGGGGAAGCTTGAATCATTTAACAACTGCGATTCACTTAACAACTGCAGTGATTTGCATAACAATGGCGAAAAAGTTTGTGAAATTGGGTGTGAGTCATTTAATGGCCTTGCTTAGAGATGGGAATTCTGATCTTAAATGTGATCGTAAATCAAGGACCACCTATATGCCATTTTCCATTACCTGCTCGGAAGGATGAAAGCTTTAACGTGTTTAAGGAACTGCAGGCCACTTCTGATTTTTCTCCAGAAACTGGTTTCAAGCCCCTTTTTGTAAACTCTTTTCTTCTGAAGTATCTAACTGTAAGATTTCCCTTTATATCATTATACCTACCTAAGTGCTTTATGGGTAAACGATATAGAGATGAGTTTGGAAAGGACAAATAAAGCCAAAAGTCACAACTGAATTAGGCACAATTAAATGGCCAAGATAGTGGAGAAAGAGCCAACCCTTAGATCAGAGTTTCCCAACCTTTCAAACTGAAGAGGAGTGGACTTCAACTCCCAGAATTCTCAGAAATGGCTATGCTGGCTGAGAAATTCTTGGAATTGATGTCCATACACCTGGAAATTGCCAAGATTGGGAAACTTTGCATTAGCCTCTTGCATTTCTGTGCATCTGCTATTCCAAACTACATCGGACTATGAAAAATGGAGAGTTTGATTGGGCCCAATGCCCTGCTCAGTCCAGGAACCCAAGTTAAAGCATGGCTGACAAAATTGCTGCCTGACTTTTTTTTAAACGTATCTAATGCAATGAGCCAACATCATCTTTGAGTATTTGGCTTGAACTGCTCTTACTGTTAGAAAGTCCTCCACACAATTCAGTCTGCCTGCTTTGATCTGCCTTCCTGTAACCTGAGAGCATTTTCCTGTGTTCCATCCTTTAGGAGATGTAGAACAGATTTTTAATTTTTTTCTGTCAGACATTCTTTCATGTTCTATCACAAATATAGAATGTTCCCACAGTTTCTCTCCAAATATGTAATTTAGTGCCTGAGCAACCTTCTTTAATGTGTTGCAAATTCTGGGTCTTCCTTAAAAGCATTCAAATATTTTGTTCCCCTACTTTCAGACAGGCTCAGCCACAACAACTTCCCCTCAAAGATTTTATTACAGGTAGTCCTTGACTTATGACCACAATTGGGACCAGAATTTCCGCCGCTAAGCAAAGTGATGGTGAAATGAAATGTGCCTGATTTATGACCTTTTTTTCCAGCCACGTCGTCGTTAAGCAAATCACTGCAGTTAAGTGAAACATGTGGTTGTTAAATAAATCCAGCTTTCTTCATTGATTTTATCTGTTGGAAGCCGGCTGGGAAAGTGGTAAATGGCGATCATATGACCCTGGGACACTACAATTATTGTAAATACATGCTGGTTGCCAGAATGTGGATGACTAACCATGGGAATTCTGGGGAAGTTATATGTACGAGGACCAGTCGTAAGTCGTATTTTTCAGTGCCGCTGTAGCTCTGAACAGTCTCTTAAATAAATGGTTGTAATTTGAGGACCACCCGTACTCCGTCAGCAAGGCTCCAATGACACCCAAGGAAAAGGAAAGGGCCCCGAGAGCCATTCTGCTTCCCCAGGGGATGGCCTCTCAAGGTTCACATCCTTACTTCAACCCACCTTACTGTTCTCTTCGTCAGAGGATCGCATCTCTTGGCGTTGTTCTTTAAAGCCCCAGATGGGCACGGAGACAGGGAGGGATTTGGCATACTGATGGCTTGGGGGTGGAGGAGCTGTCTGTCCTGGAGCCTCCTCACTCAGACTCCCATCTGAGAAAAAGTGGGGATTCGGGGGGGGGGGGGGGGGGGGAAAAAGCAGCTTAGACCAACTGTGCAACATTTGAAAACAGTGAGCTGTGAGCAGCCGAAGCCTGATCAAAAGCAGGAGAGGCCTGGTTTAGATTAATCCCTTTCATTTGGTTGAATTACAACTCCCAGAATCGTTAATCTTTGATCACGTTTGGCTGAGGCTACCGAGAGTTGCGATTCAACAATATTTAGAGCAGAGGTGGGCAACCTCTTAAGACAAAAGGCACATCTGGGATTTTGGCAGCATGTGGCAGATGTACTTTCATGGCCCATCACAAAACACTCATTTACTAGGATGTTCTCTATCATGCCTTAATAAACTCAAGGGGATTCCTGCAAATAGATACAAAGCAGAAGGCAAGTGCGTCATTGTGCAGCATGTTGCCTTCCTTTTTTCTTATGACAAGCCTTTTTCAAAAAGTGGGTAGCATTGGAGGGGTCTAACAATGGAAGGGTCTAGCAACACACCCATGGTTACAAGCTATCCAGATCCTCCATCTCTCTCTAAACTTTATTCAAAAAAAAATCCAAGCGTGTACAAGCATCTTTGGCATAGATTATTGGTATATGTTCTTGAGGATATTTTTTATCAATTAATACCCGAAATGCTCATTTTTAGACCTGGCCAAAGCTACTCTCATTCAGCACTTCTCCATATTCTGTTTCCTGAAAATCCCAGGAAGCCAGACATTGATTCATCAGTAGAGCAACCTTTAATCTATAATTTAAAACTCCCTCTCACCCTGTAACAGTGTCAATTCCAACAAGAATATGGAAGATCTAGAAAAGACAAATGAAATGAAGCAACTCCTTGGGGTTTCAAATACCACTATAGTCAATTAATGAAGTTTCCATTTATGCAGCCTCCCTTAATCTGGCATCTTCCAATCATATTGCAACTACAGTTCCCAGAATTCCCAGCTGGCAATATAAAAAAAGATAGGAAATCCTGGTTGCTGGATTGAATACTGTTAAATTGGAGATGGCTGTCATAAAGAATTCCAGCTTCTAGTTTTTGAAAACAAAAAATGAAAACTCAAATGATAATATCCAGATTATTTACAAAAATGTCAAATGTATAAATAGCGAGGAGTTATAATTTGTAATATACAAACTGTGGAGAATGACATTAAATATAAGGAAAAAAGTTGAGAACAAGCTTTTCCAACAAAGTAAATTGGATCCACTTAACCATGCCTAGCAGTCTCATTAAAGACTAATTAGACCAAGCAATTAAGGGAGCCAACAGGGTAGAGGAGACAAAGCCACACATATTAGGTGGATCTTTGTTTAATTATCCCTCACATTTATATCCTTTCTCCAAGGAACAGATAAAGGAGTTCCCTCTTTCTTTCTCTTTTCAACAAATTTGCAAAGTATGCTAGACTAGCCAAAGTCATCCAGTGAATGGCTGAACAGATCTTTTTTATTCTCTTAGCCACTAAAACTATGCTGGTTACAGTACAGGTAGTTGCAGGATCCAATCTGGGTCGGTCACCAGGATCAAAGGTTTTGTCTTCTGAGCTTTCGGATTCTTGCTGGAGCCCATCTTCAGGGAACTTCTCCCTAGCAGAGTGTTTGCTGTGTGTGGTATTTATAGTGCCTGCTGTAAGTGGCTGTTTAGATGTTGATTGGGGTATGTTGAGGGCTGGCTTTTAAGTTATTAGCTGTCTTTTGCTTGTGCTCCCAAGCCCTCAACTTCTAAGTACTTGGTAGGCTGATGATAAATCAACACGCCTGTTGACTGACGAGGGGCCTGTTTCCTAAGCTTCAATCACTTCCCTGGCTGTTTTTGTGCCTGCTCGTCTAATAAACTTAGTAGCTGCAAAATTGAACGTGTGTCGTTGTTCATGGCAGTCTGTCCTACATAGTCAGAGGGTCAATCCATGCAGGGGATTGAATGCAGCTTCCCAGAGTTGCAAGTGGGAATTGCAAACTGCCCAGAGGTTAACATATGTACGAGGACAAATTATGCATTGTAAAGATCCCTTGGAGGTGGGAGGTACTTCCAATGTAATTACCAAATCCCCTGCATGGATTGCCCCTCTGACTATGTAGGACAGACAGGGAGGAAGCTAATCACCAGATTGCAAGAACACAAGCGAGTGGTCAGACGAGGAGACCCGAACTCGTTGGAAGCCTCACACTGCCATGAACCTGGACACACATTCAATTTTGCAGCTACTAAGTTTGTTGGACGAGCAGGCACAAAAACAGCCAGGGAAGTGATTGAAGCCTGGGAAACAGGCCACTCGTCAATCAACAGGTGTGTTGATTTACCACCAGCCTACCAAGTACTTAGAAGTTGAGGGCTGGGGACCACAAGCAAAAGACAGCTAATAACTTAAAAGCCAGCTCTGACACACCCCAATCAATATCTAAACAGCCTAAACAGGCACTATAAATACCACACACAGAACAGCAAACACTCTGCTAAGGAGAAGTTCCCTGAAGATGGGCTCCAGCATGAGTCCAAAAGCTCGGAAGACAAAACCTTTGATCCTGGTGACCCACCCAGATTGGATTCTGCAACTACCTGTACTGTAACCAGCATAGTTTTAGTGGCTAAGATTGGATCCTTCAACATTATCCTGGAACACATATATTTGCTCTCATTTTTGAGTACAGGTAGTTCTCAATTTACAATTCATTTAGTGATTGTTCAAAGTTACAATGGCACTGAAAAAAATGACTTATGACTGTTTTTCACACTTATGACCATTGCAGCATCCCCATGGTCACGTGATTAAAATTCAGACACTTGGCAACTGACTCATACTCATGGTGGTTGCAGTATCCCGGGGTCATGGGATCCCCTTTTGCGACCTTCTGTCAAGCAAAGTCAATGGGTTAGCCAGATTCACTTAACAACTATGTTACTACCTTAACAACTGCAGTGATTCACTTAACAAGTGTGGCAAGAAAGGTCATAACATGGGTCAAAATTCACTTAACAACTGTCTTGTTTAGCAACAGACATTTTGGACTCAACTGTGGTCGTAGGTCGAGGACTATCTGTAATTGAATGTCATTGGGCTTGTCAAGAAGATCCTTACAACGAAAGAGGACTTCATGGAAGAAGCTGAAACCAAAAATTCGCAGGTGGTTTGGACTGATCATTCTGAGAAGGGAAAATACCTAGTCCACAGAAAGAATAGGGAAAAACTCAAAAGGAAAAACTCAAAAGTGTTGTCTCTCTTACACAGGGCTACTCCACTCACCGTCAGTGCTTTCCACATCAGAATCAAAAAAAGGCTCATAATCTTGGCTTGGAGAATCTTCGTCCATCACAAACAGACCTAGAAATTAATAGTTATCTTAAAATATAGAATGACAGTGGCTGTTCGTAAAAGATCCCTCATGATACACTCCTGTCCCGCAACATAAATGTGGATTATCATACCAGGTGAATGGAAATGCTGCCTTTCTCGTACCACCATTTTTTAAAGAATTAATCTTTTTGTATCCAAAAATAATACCATCACAGCTGGAAGATATCAACAAGCTTGGATGAACACCAAGGTTTTCTAAATGCAGCACAAATGTTGGCGTGTGTTTGTGTGTGTGTTTGAAACAAAGACCAGTTAGAACCAATCATGCTCAATATAATAGTTTTCAGCAACTGACTTGGAACCTGAAACAAAACCCAATGGCTGCTTGAAGGTCCTATCTTTTATTTTAATTTATACATTTCCTTGAAGGCAAAGTCAGAAAGTATACCTCAACCCTCAGGTGAGGCAAGAACAATATGGAATGGATGGAGAAGAAAAATAAGTACATCATGAACAAGATGTCTTAATAGCTTAATAGGTCTGCTCTGCTTAGTAAATGTGGATTAAAGTTTACATTATCGCAACTAAATGAGTCTGTAGACCAGTGTTTCTCAACCTTGGTAGCTTGAAGATGGGTAGATTTCAACTCCCAGAATCCCCCAGCCAGCAGCGCTGGCTGGGGAATTCTGGGAGTTGAAGTCCACCCATCTTCAAGCTACCAAGGTTGAGAAACACTGCTGTAGACCTCTCCTTCACACAGACTTCTTTCATGTCAGCAGATGACAATAGGACATCTGAAAGGAATGCACTTCAAATATGAGAAGCCAATTTTAAAAGGAAGGTATTAATTGGGGGACATTAAAGAGAGCCAGGATAATGCAGTGGCTAAGATACTAAACCAGAAAGTGTTAGGTCATGAGTTCTAGTCCTCCCTTAGGCATGTAAGTCAGCTGGAGGCCTTGAGTCAGACAATCTCTTCAGCCTAACCTACCTTACAAGATTGTTGTTGTGGGGAAAATGGGAGAAGTATGCATGCTATAAAAATGTATTTTATATTACGTGTAAAATAAAGGTGGGATATGTCAAATAATTATAGCACATATTTCTGCTTATATCAGTAGTTCTTGACTTAAAACCATCCATTTAGGAACCATTTTACAGTGACTATGATAATGATCTATCACTATTGTTGTATGACACTGAGAGCTTATGCACCGGAGGCAAATTCTTTGTGTCTAATCACACTTGGCCAATAAAGAATTCTAAAATTTGAACAGCACTAAAAAAAATGATCTATGGCCGGTGCACTCACTTAAAACGGTCACAGCATCCCCAGTCATGTGATCAACATTTGGGCACTTGGCAACAGGCATTTATAATGCTTGCAGTGTCCTGGGATCATGTGATGGCTGTTTGCAACCTTCCCAGAGCACTTCTGACAAGCAAAGGCAATGGGAGAGGTCAGATTCATTTAATAACTGTGGCAAAAAAAGATCATAAATACAGGCATGACTCACTTATAACCATCTTGCTTAGCAATAGAAATTCTGGTTCCAATTGTGGTCATATGTTGACAACTATCTATTATAACCCCTCAATGTAGCTTATAAAGCTATAGCAAAGTATAAAATATGAAAACAATAAAATCAAAATCAATAGTTAAAAGGCTTAGCAAAGATTCTTTTTTTATTCACTTAAGCTCTAGGAGAAGAGGGCCTGGTGGCTCAGCAGACTGATAGCATTGTGATTAACACCAGCTGTCTGCAATTACTGTAAGTTCGAATCTCACCAGGCTCAAGGTTGACTCAGCCTTCCATCCTTTCTAAGGTAGGTAAATTGAGGACCCAGTTAATAAGCTGACAATAAGGGCAATAAGCTGACTTTGTATAAATATACAAAAGGATGAAGCTATTGCTTAACGCATTGTAAGCCGCCCTGAGTCTCCGGAGAAGGGCGGCATATAAATCAAATTAAAAAAAAAAAAAAGAGGGGAGGCCAAACAGGCTTTCTTGGAGATAGCCTTTCATACATGATACATACATGCACAACCTAATGTTCTCAGGCAGTAAACGTTCTACTCCTTCTCTGAACTTTGGCTGTTCTGGATTGCTCCACGGTTATTTGCTGAACAACCAGAATCAGAATAGTTTGGAGGAGGAATGGAATATTTTCGGCTTTGCACAACTAATGACCTATTTTTCAAGCAAGTCAAAATATACTGTCAACCAGTGTGACTTTACAGTCTAGTTGTTAGATCTAATTCTAGAGAGACTATAGTGCCATCCCTCAGTCACATATCTTATTTAGATCAGTTACTGCCTTTTAGTCTATCTCAAAGGGGTGCAATGAAGATAACAACAGTGGCTGCAGTAGATTGTTTTTAAAACAAGTTACAGTCTTAATATCTCAAGCACTCCTAATGCCATGTCTCTGTTTGAAAATTAAGGTCAACAGAAGAAGCCTTCTTAAAGACATCCCTCTGGCCTCATTTTCCGAGCTCCATTCGTTGGGCTTCTATCTTATTTCCAAACTGCAGAATGCACTTCAAGGAAAATCACACTCAACTCCTGCTCTTTCTTTTATGAAAGGAGTCCAGAACTTTCCCTTCAGATTTTTCAGTTTCAGCTTTCTTAATAATTCTTGTAATTGTTTTTATGAGATTTTAAGGTGTTCTGGCCTTTTGAGTGCTTGATGAGAAGAAATGTAAAATATAAATTGAGACAAATGGTAGAAGGAAACCAAATTGGCCTGAAAGGAGGACAGAATAAAACCATGCCCACACCAACAACATGAGGAAAAGCTTCTCTTGAAATAATCTTAAATTATCTCCAGGCAAGCATTCACTATACTCAGATTTGTTTTGCTGAGAGATGAAACTATACCAAATACTTTCAGGTCACTCCTGAGGGAAGGCAGGAATATGTCAGGGCAGAGACACATAGCAGATCTATTTGATTCAGTGTCCTACTCTATGTCTTCCAGATTACTTGTAATTATGTATATGATAAACTTTCCTTATTGTCATCCAGCACATATGGAGGATCTCTATTGCTGGCACTGCTAAGAACATTCAGGCCAACTGAGGAAGACTGAAACCTGGCTGCAGCCTGCAGGAAATTAGTTGTGCTCTACAAGATAGATTCAGTGACTCAAAATGGAGCCTAGGAGACATGGGACAATGTACTTTGCAAACTGCAGGCCAACACCCTTCTTCACACAACCCAACAATCCCAGTTAGTATCAAATGGGTTCTCCTACGCCAGGAAGCTAAAAATATATTTCTGCACTCTTCAGGCTTCACTTGGGATAGTTGCGTGCATTAAACACACAGCAAGAGAGGCTAAAGGTTCAGAGGACAAGGTACAAAGAAACACCCAACATGGACCCACTGGGATGCAGTAGCTAAGACTAGAAGCCACGAAAGTATTCCATCTCCTTTTTCAGCCATGTGCTCACAAGTGGCTTCTATTCCAATCTCTTTTGAAATATGAGCGAAATGCCTTTAAGAATTCTGAGGATTCTCAAATTAAGCTACATGAAATGGTTCTCAGCACCTGAAAAAGTGATAGCTAAATGTAATTTATTACATCTATAAATCTGATACAAATTATTTTGACTAGATAAATGCACACACTTAAAATAGCTGTACTGTATCTTTCAAAAAACAAAACCAATTTCAAATTTTATATTTCTATATATCAACCTATCAATGTGAGATCTTCAGCTGAGACTTGGCTCTGAGCTGCAGCAGATAAATAGTTGGGCCTTTTTGGCAGAAGATTCCCAATTCTGGAACACTCATTCATCCGGAGTTTCATTTTGTTCCCAAAATGAAACTGCTCTCCATTATTATTAAGAAATTGTTTTTTCAAGGGACCTTTAAATGATATGATTTCATTTTTTTCCCTTTCAAACTCTGACACACCAACAATTTGTTATTCTGTTTCCCTTCCATTGGCTAATTAGCTATAATAAAGTTACCCTGTTAATTTTTTTTTGCTTGTTGATTTGCAAGTCCTTTTTAGCAGAAAAATAAAATACAAAGGCCAAAAGGGGGAGAGAGAAATGAATGCAAGGGACTATGCATAATCGTATCTTCACTTCATTCTCAAACTGCTACCCACTGTTCTGTCAAACCTAATACCTTGGGATGTGCCTTCTCACTTCAACAGAGGCAAGTTTTGTCACAACTGTAACGATAGGAAAAGTGCTACTAGTGTACAGTTAGTGTTTATCCTGCTAAAGAATGTGATGCGAAGCCAGTGCCTTCAGGCATCTTACTAAGCCTTAATTCAATGTGGCTTTTCTTATTATACAAGCCTACACTGTTTGTTCTAAAACTATGTTTAAGCCAGTCAAGGCTTGGCACAATGTGTGAATCAGGTTTCTTTTCTTAACAGATCCAGTTAAAATACAGGTAGTTTTCCACTTACGACAGTTCGTTTAGTGACCGTTCAAAGTTACAATGGCACTGAAAAATGTGACCTATGACTGTTTTTCATAGTTACAATCTTTGCAGCATCCCCATGATAATGCAATCAAAATTCAATGCTTGGCAACTGGTTCAAATTTATGACTGTCCCATGGTCATGTGATCACCTTTTGTGACCTGACAAGCAAAGTCAATGGGGAAACAAGATTCACTTAACAATCGGGTTACTAATTTAACAACTGCAGTGATTCACTTACCAATTGTGGCATGTAAGGTCGTAAAATGGGACAAAACTCACTTAAATGTCTCCCTTTAACATCATTTTGGGCTCAATTGTGGTCGTAAGTTGAGGACTTCCTGTATAGTCCACTACACTCTTAATATTTATTGTGGACTTACATTCAGGCATCCGGTGGTTGAATTTTAACACCCCTGGGCCTTTTTATCCAGATGCTGGCTGGCAGGTCCTGGGAGTTAAGTCTGACACATCTGGAGAACTCCTGACTGGGGAAGGTTGACCTTAGAACTTTTTTTACAAAAAGCAGTGCATATCTAAGTCTCTCTCTACCCCTACGCTGTAATTGCCAGTGTTGTCCAAGCCTGACTTTTCAAGTTAAGCTTTGGGGTGAGCAGCCTACTTGGTTGATATTTGACATATATTTATTGCAGGCTACTTGAAACTATTTATAGAAAAACAAGCTATAAATGCAAACTTGTTGCAGAGACATACCAGTAGTGTCACTAGGAGGGTTTTTCCCACCGGGTTGTTCCAGTTCAGTCAATGTATTTCTGTCACCTTCATCATCTTCATCTTCGTGTTCTTGGCCTCCCGAAGCCTGAGGCAGGCCTCCCTGGGAGGTAGGCGTCCTGTGTGGGGCAAGTTCATCTGGAGCATAAGTAGGGGGGTAACTTTGGGAATAGGATCCTAGTGGGGGAAGTGGATGAGGGTTTGAGGGAGGGCGGGCAATATAGGTGAAGGCAGTGGTTTTATGAACCACTGCAATATCTTCGAGGTAGCGTTGAACGGCATCTGCTAGAGCCCCACTCCCATGGTGCGCATAGCTGTAGTTGCCAGGGGGTGGTGCCCGGAAGGCTGTGAGCAAAACAATTTCGTTGCCTGTTTGACGCCGGTACTGTTCTGCTGCAGCCACCAGGGCTACCCAATTGTCCTTATGATTATCTGCCATAGCTGTCATTCTGCAGGCAAACAAAACAAGAAAGACACTGAGGTTAAACCATTGCACAGTGGAACAGAACACATCCATAGTTAAAAAGCTGAGCTGATGAAAATATTAAATATTCGCAGGAGGAAAACAAACACCTGTTTCTAAGCGACACAAATACCGCACTGCAACAGGCATTCAAATTCACACAATGCCTTTTTTTTTAAAGACAGCTTCTACCGCCTAGGGTTGCTTTTGCCCAGTCGAAAAGCAAAATACTTTTAGTCAATTTGCCTAGCCAATTTATCAGCTGAATGTCACAGCCCAGGTTCACCCGGAGGCACTTTTATGAGAAACCAGGAACGGGGCAGGAACAGAAGGCCAAGAAACCTGGTTTGTTCCAGAGAGGGAGTTCAGCTGAGCAGTGTAACCGGAGCCTGTATTCAAAACACCTGGTGTGGAGCAGGAGTTAAAAAAGAAAAAAGTTAAGAAGCCACCGTGAACAGCCCGTATGAAAACCAAGAGAGGAGCCACAAGCACACCTGGAAGAGCCAAAGAAGCTGGGTTCTTTCACGGAGAGAAGCCGCCAAAGCAAGAGCTTGCAAGAGGCAAACAAACAAGGATAGCGTGCAGGGCAGAAAGTGGGGTTCAGGTGTTGGAAGACTGCTCTGGACAAGAGCATGCACAGGGTGTGGGGGGTGCAGAGGAGGCTATGCAGGGTGGAAAAGCCCCCTTTTCCCAACGGGGCAGAGCCCAAAAGGGCACCAAAGCAAATGATAACAGCCCTGGAATAAAAGCAAGGGGGTAGGGTGGGGGGGGGTGGACACATACCGAGACAGACAGACAGACAGCACCGTGAGGAAGAAGGGACGCCCCCCGGCACAAATCTTTCCTTTCTCTCCCCAGACACCCCCCCCCACTCCCCGAGCAGGGCTCCGAAAGGAAGCGGCAGGAGGGGTGGGTGACGCATATTACCTTCTCCTACCTTTTTTTACCCCACCCCCCTCGCTTAAGCACCGGAGACCCCTTCCCTCCCAGCCCCCATGGGGGTCAGCAGCCGGAATCCTGACCTCTCACCTTTAACCCTTCCCAGGACACTTATGCCGCCCCCTCCTCCTCCTCCTCCTCTTCTAAACAACAACCGCCACCTCCCCTTCCCCACCCCCAAGACTCCGCCTCCTCCGACCGCCCTTATAAGACATGAGACCAGCGCCCACACGCTGCCCTTTTCTAAGATGGAAGGCGGGGAACAAAGGAGGGCGTCTGGGCGGGGGGAAGGGAAGGAGTCGAGAACGTGGATTGGCCTTCTTTTGCCCGGCCCAAAGATGGCATCGGAAGCGGGGGGGGGGAGCGTTTCCTCGTACGCATGCGTGTGGTTGTTTATGAAACCAAGTTCACATTGCCATGTTAAATTTATTTATTTATTTTTAAATTTCGAGGGCTTATCAAAATCCGAAAGGCGGCGAAGAGATACCGATAATTCTAGAGAGGGCATATTAGAAGAGAGGGAGAAAGCTACATGTGACTGTGGACTTAGTAGGAAATCCGCCGAACTTCTGTAAAGGAGGAGGAGGCGAGAGAGGGACTTCAAGACACCCACGTGAAAGTTGAAGAATCTCAAGTTTAAAAGAATCTCAGTTTAAAACATGGCACCCTCGGCTGAGAATTTCCGCACGCCATTTAAACCGTATCCGCCAGGAGTCACTAGCGGATTGCTACAGGCAGGGCGACTAAAACCCTGCAGGTTCCTAAAAGCAAAATGTTGCTATGCTGCAGATATTCTAAAGAACAGCAGGTGGCAGCAAAGAGAGGCAGAAGCTTCTAAGCCAGTGTTTATCAATCTTGGCAATTTGAGGATTTGTGGACTTCAACTCCCAGAATTCCACCCAATTTAAAGTGGTTAAGGTTGATAAAACGTGCTCTAAGCTATTTGCTGCCATCGCCTGGTCAGACCTGGGAGTCTGGAGTTTGAGATCCCTCGCTTCACCATGCTTGCCACAGCTTTTCTAATGTATTATTGATATTATTCTGATTTGTTTGCTTGGTTGTGTGAGCTGTCCATAGTCACCGAGAGCTGGGAGGCATTTCTTAGGTTTCATTGTACAGCCAGCCAGATGTTTAAACTGGATTTGGCATTTTTATCTAGCTCTTCGCAAGGACCTAGGATAGGTGTGTCTTGTTTGATGGTGCTTAGCAGAAAAGATATATATTGGATCATCATCAACATCAAACACTTCTGTTGCTAAAATACGATGCTATCAATCTGCCTATCAACTTCCAAATATAGTATGAACACCAGCCAACGTTGCCAGTTTGCTATGAATTCTGGGAGTTGAAATCTCAGGAAGCATCCCACTCGGAAACTCCTCTAAAGTTTGTTAAGTTATTTGTCATTTGATAGAAAACTCCCCCCACCATCTATAAAGATGCAAGATTAATTAATCTTGCAATCTGCTGCAAGATTAATTTCATAGACGTATTATTTCATTCAATAAAATTCCCTCATTTTTCCCGCACCAAGGGAGCGGTCCCTTGATAATAATTGCAAGGAACTTTAGATGAGTTTCAAATATTTCATGGACATAATTTTCTTGGTAATAATTTATTGGCATTACTCCCCCCCACCCCGATATCCAGTATTGATATTGCTTAAAAGACTCCCAACCATATTATAATTCATCCTGGACGGACCCCAGTTTAGCTTCCGAGGCCAAAATCACCCAGATGTTTCCACGTGCCAGCCTCCCCTAGTTAAATCATAAAATATGTTTTCTATTTCATGCTTTATTAAGTTCTTCGAGTGTGTAAAACATTCCTTAACCGGTGCATAATTATCTAATTTTACTTGCATATTGGTGATAAAGTCAACTTTAAAGATCCAGGCACTTTGACCTTTACAAAGATGGCGCCCAACGCTTCATCTGCGTTTCCAGACAAGACATCCACCGTTCCAGTTTTTGAATTTTTTTTTCCGCGCCAGAAACAATGATGGCGGCTTCACGAAACATTAAAAACAGAACACGGCTCTGTGAAAAGGGCGGGGGGGTGTCAATCGGAGCAGGAAATGACGTGTTTGTTTTTCAGGAAGTAGCTGTCAGGCAGAATGGAGTTAGGGGGCTGCAGGGTAAGAAAGGCCTTTAATCCTCCAGGGGGGGGGGTGTCCTCGTTAGGCTCCCTGAAGCAAAAATGGGCTCTCAAAGGAAAAAGGATTGAGGGGTTTTTTTCAAGCATGAGCCGAAAATGGTTTCCCGGGAGACGAGGGGCGGCTGTGTCGTTCCGTATGGAAAGTGTGGTTGGTTAGAAATGGGGAAAGGTGCTTTCTTCCGCCTTGGAAGTTGCAGGGAGACGTGATATTCCTCCTATATGTATTGAGATTCCTTCCCCCCTGGTAGTATGTAGAAATTGGTTATCAGCGTTACGGTTATGTAAAATGAGTCCCACCCACCCCCTTTTTTTGGGAGTTGTTTTGAGGCTTTTGACAATAAACCATTAAAGAAGTTTGGATCTTGTTACTTGAGCTGCACATTGGGGGTAAAAACTGGAGGAGTGGAATTCTGGTCCTTTTCCTGCCCATTTCTTCCATTTCTTTTCTTCTGATTTTTTTTTTTTTCAGATTGCGTTTGAGAAAGATGGAGTCTATTTACACACCAGTGCAAAGCGGCATCCTGACCAGGATTCCCTCATACCTGGAGTTATCCGCATCATTGAGAAGGTGGGTCGAGACAGGTTGCCCAATTGGATTGTAAAACGGAAGTGGTCGTGGTGAGAAAATTGGGGTATTGGAGTATTGTATTGGTTACCTTGGGGGATCCTATCCAGTCTTATTTACCATTAAATGAATGGGCTAAAGCAGACTCAAGACTTTTTTTCCACTTTGGTTTTTGGATGCTGGAGGAAGAATCTGAGGCTTTTGTAGCTTCGTAATATTGTCTAATTGTGACATTATGGTTAAAGGTAGTTAGGATTAATTTGAACAAAACTGGTCAGAATAGCGGAAGCTTTGTATTTGAGTCCAGCGGTTTCTACAGTTTATTCTTAATACAAGTTATTCTCATGTAGTGACCACGATTGGGACTGGCAACTCGGCCGTTAAACAAAGTATTATTTAAGCTAAGTAAACATCGCAATGTAATGATCTTGCTTCACTTTTCCTTTGCTTTGCAGACCTGAGAAAGTTGTAAATGTGTGGTCTGGTTGCAAAGTTACTTTTTTATCACTGTTGTAATTGCAAACTAGCTAAATGAGGCAGTTACTAAATGAGGACTACCTGTATGCTATATTAATGCATGTGCACAAGTAGTAGTTTATGTAGTACATAAAAGATTTCAATATTTCAGAAGAAAATTTAAGTTTCCCACAATTTATGATTTAAGTGCACATAAAAAAGCATTAGGCAGGTTGTGATGATATTTTAGATAACAAAGTGGGGGATGAGCAGTATTTCAGTATTTGTGCATCAACTGCTTTTCAAGGAGGAAACACGTGAAATTCAGCACTCATTTGATCACTTAAATTTCAAAATTTAAAAACCAAGTTTTGGGATGAGGGATTTTGTTGGAATATTTTATTGTAATGTTGCTTCCTTTTTATTCAGGGTTCAGATACTTTACTACAATGGACCCCTGTGGAAGAATCTTCAGATACTGCTCAAATCATGTACACTAAAAAGGTAAGGCTTTCTGCTGATTTAATCATCTACCTATATGTATAGTATAGCCTTTGTTGTCATTGTACATCATATATACAACGAAATTGGTTTTAGCCTCACTGGTGCAATCCATGACAAAAAAATACAAACAACATAAATAGTATAAAGAATAATCCCTATGCAAGTAATTAGGGGAAAAAAGAAAAAGAAAAACTAGTCATATGCTTCCGCGTGTGCGTGAAGTGATTGTGGTTGTGTTTAAGAGTCTGACAGCCCAAGGATAGAAACTTAATGTACTTAAATTCTGCGATATATTTGCTCTCTATATTTTGGCAGAAGCAAAAATACATTTCTTTAGATTAGTAGTTTTTCTTCTTTAATACTGTATAGGTTGCTTGTTCTTCACAGAGTAATATGTTATGGTATCCTTTCAGTTTATATAAAAGTTAAAAAAAACCTCAGTCTCTTGAAGAAAATAGTTATAAGAATAAAGAACAATGCTAGGGTTTCAACTATACGTGTCTTAAATTCTCCTAGAATCATTGTAAAGGTAGTCCTTGAATTATTGTAACGGAGCCTGCCCATCATGGTTGTAAGTTGTGATAGTTGTAAAATGGGTGAGTCACACAAAAGACAAGATTTTACAACCTTTTTCCAGCAGTCATTAAGCAAATCAATGGTTTGCTATGGATACAATTTAGGACAGGACCTAAAGGAGCATTGCCCTGAAGACACTTATGAGGGACATATTTAAAAACATTGAAATGCCCTCTAATCTTGTTTTCTCTTTACTAGGATACCATTGGCCCCCAAGCTGAGGAAGAACACTTTGATCCAGGATATGAACCAGACTGGGCTGTAATCAGTACTGTGGGGACAAGGTCTCGGGTTCAGGAGGAAACTGCTGGTAAATTGAAAGAGGAAGCACTAGTTTCCTTTTATGAATTTCAGTTGTGTGTATCTAGGTTTACTGATGACGTTGCAATAACGAATGGAACATGGGGATGAGAAAAAGACAGTAGCTAGAAATTGTGGGATTTTGTGGGATTTCCTCTTTCCTTTGTCACTATGCTTTTCCTGTGTTTTCCCTACCAGTTTCTGGGTCAAAATCTCCAGTCCCTCGTGGTCAGTGGGCCTTCTCTCTCAGCTTGTCTGATCTGAAATCCATCCGTAAGAGTAAACCAGGCCTCGGCTGGTCGTTCCTCATCTTCATCACCAAAGAAGGCATTTCCATTCAAGCTCTGCATTTCCACCGTGGAGGCACGAAGGCCCTTCTCAAAGCTCTTTGCAAATATGTTATATTAGCCACGTGAGTGAGATTACATCACAACCTCTGTTACATTAAAGAAATAAGATGTAGTCTCCATCTGGTTTAAACTTGTTGCATGGAATAGGGGAATGTTTTCTAATATCAGCTTCTGAAAGCAAAATTTGAAAGCCTTTGTTAGATAGTAGGATATTCCAAGGCTGTGGATTAATTTAGGAAATGAGGAAAAATATCCAGGAGGAAAGCAGTAGTAAATCACTTTTACATTGTTAGCAAGGAAATTATTTGAATTTGTCCCTGAAGTTACTGGGAGTCAAGGTCGACATTATTCTTTGTCTCATTGGATGCTTTGAGCAAAGTGCTGGCTAAGTTTCAAGTAAGGACCAGATATCTAGCAATAGCAAGAGAAATTTGGTTATCCTGGTTTGTTTGAGATTTCTTTTTTTTTTTATTGAAAAGTTTTAAAAAGTTTTACAGACATTTCCCCTTCCCCCTTCCTGCTCCCCTTCCAACCCTCTCCTTCCCCTCCCTCCCCCCCCCACTTCCCAGAGCAAAATACAGGGTATAACATTTGAAAATCATAAGCTAACATAAGCTAATTATCTATAGCCTCCTATCCCCCTCTTGAACTTTTAACTCCTCTTTTACTAAACTAAATTTAAGTACTTTATAAAATCTCTTTAATCATTCATAAGCTATTTGAAATTTTTTAGTCTGATATTTGCCTTGAATATAATCAATCCATCTTTTCCATTCTAACATATATTTCTCATTTGAATGGTCCTTTAGATATGCTGAAATTTTCACCATTTCTGCTAAATTTACTACTTTTAATTTCCATTCTTGAATAGTAGGTAAATCTTCCTTCTTCCAGTACTGCGCCACCAAGAGTCTTGCTGCAGTTATTAAGTTCAGAATCAAATTAGTCTCTATAGCCGTACAATCTGTAATTATACCTAACAAAAACAACTGTGGAGTAAACTTTATCCTTTTTTAAAAAATATTTTGAATAATCCACCATATTTTTATCCAAAATGCTTTAACTTTTTTACAAGTCCACCAAACATGAAAATAGGTAGCATCAACACAATCACATCTCCAACATTTAGGTTGTAAGTTTGGGTACATACAAGCTAACTTTTTAGGATCCAAATGCCATCTATAAAACATTTTATAAAAATTTTCTCTCAATTTTTGAGCTTGTGTAAATTTTACATTTCTTACCCAGATCCTTTCCCATTTTCCATCATTATTGGTTCCTCAAAATTTTGTGCCCATTTTATCTTTAACTAATTCTGTCTCTGAGTCTATTTCTATCAAAATATTATACAACCTTTTTATATGCATTCTACTCTGTTCCCTAATTTGTTTTATCAAATTTTCTTCACTTTGTATAATACCAATTTTCTGATCTTTTTTCCATCTATTCTGCAGCTGTACATACTGAAACCAGGTTTGAATTGCCCTTTCCTCTCTTAGTACATTCAGAGGCTTTAACTGTAGTACATTTCTTTCTGTAAACAGAAGTTCTTTATAAGTAATTACATCCTGTCTTTGTTCTATACTTATATTTTCTATTGCATGTCTGGGTACTACCCACATGGGTATCTTGCCATTCAATTTATATTGGTATTTTTTCCAAACACGCAGGAGAGCATTCCTTAATATATGACTTTTAAAAGTCCTATCCACCTTCTTCTCATAAACTAAGTAGGCATGCCAACCATATAGCAAATCATACCCTTCAATATTCAATATTCTTTCATCTGTTAAATTAATCCAATCACTAATTGCTGACAAAATAGCTGCTTCATAGTACAATTTTAGATTGGGCAATTTCAAACCTCCTCTTTCACGTGTATTCTGCATTTTTAATTTAACTCTCGGACTCTTCCCTACCCAAACAAAGTTGTTAATGCCTCTCTGCCATTCCTCCAAATTTGCATCCTTTTTAAGTATTGGTATCATTTGAAAAAGAAATAAAAACTTGGGCAGAACATTCATTTTAACTACTGCTATTCTTCCCAACAAAGACAGTTGTAATTTTTTCCATTTATCCATCTCTGTCTGTATTTTATGCCATAACAATTCATAATTATACTTGTATAATTTCCCATTTGATGTTGTAATAACAATTCCTAAGTACTTAACCTTTTTCACTATCTCGCATCCTGTTACTCTTTCCATTTCTTCTTTTTGATTTGTATTCATATTCTTAGCTATCATCTTTGTTTTACCTATATTTATTTTAAACCCTGACACTTGACCATATTGCCTAATTATCTCCATCAAACCTGTAACTGAATTTACTGGTTGGGTTAAAGTTACAACCAAATCATCTGCAAATGCTCGTAATCTATAATCATGTTGCCTGATCTTAATACCCTGTATATTATCCAAGTCCCGTATTTTATTCAGCAATACTTCCAAAGTTAAAATAAACAGTAGTGGAGACAAGGGACATCCCTGTCTTGTTCCTTTCTCAATTTTAAACATTTCTGTGAGACTACCATTAACTATTATTTGTGCTGTTTGTTTCTGGTATATTGCCTTAATAGACTGTATGAAATCCTCTCCCAACTGCATCTTTTGTGCTACTTTCACTAAAAACTGCCAATTCAATCGATCAAACGCTTTCTCTGCATCCAGAAACATAAGCACTGCAGGGACTTGGTTGTTCTTCCCCAAATACTCCAGTATATTAACAATTTGTCTTACATTACTTTTCATTTGTCTCCCTTGTATAAATCCAATTTGATCTTTATGAATCACTTGTTGCATGACTGACATTAGTCTATTTGCCAAAATTTTTGCAAAGATCTTATAATCTGTATTAAGCAATGATATGGGTCTATAATTTTTCGGTTGACTATGATCTTGATCTTCTTTTGGAATCAGGGAAATAAAAGCTGTTCTCCAGGATGGTGGCACTTCTCTTCCCCATTGTATTTTAGCAAATAACTTCTTAAGAGGCTCTACCATTTCTAATTGAAAATTTTTATAATACACTGCTGTCAAACCATCTGTGCCAGGAGCCTTTCCACTTTTTAATTGTTTAATTGCCAAAAGAATTTCCTCAGTGGTTATTAATACATTCAATCTTTCCCTTTGTTCATCAGTAATTGCAGGAATATTTTCCTTCTGCAAATATCTCTCTATCATTACCTTGTATATTATCACCAGCATATAACCTCGTATAAAAATCTAAAAATGCTTTTTTAATCATATTCTGTTATATATCTCTTTACCTTTATACTCTATTTTTTTTTATTGAAAAGTTTTATAGGAAATAAAAACATTTTCTCCCCCCGCCCTTCCCCCACCCATCACCCCTCAGCCTTCCCCCCACCCCCCTCCCTTGACTTCCCAGAACAAGCACAGGGTATAGAATCCACAAACATAAAACTAAAATATGCTAACAAATTGTTGACTTCAGATTCTTTCTAGGTCTTTAACTCCTTATAACTTAAAACACTATAAACATAAGCTAAAAGTTAAAAATGTTTCACTCATAATCTATATGAATCTTCTTAGTCTGATACTTGTTTTGAATATAGTCAATCCATCTTCTCCATTCCGTTATGTATCTTTCATTTGAATGGTCTTTAAGATATGCTGAAATTTTAGCCATCTCTGCCAAATGCACGACTTTTAGTGTCCATTCCTCAATAGTAGGTGGATCTTCCTTCTTCCAATACTGTGCCACTAGTAACCTGGCAGCTGTTATTAAATTCAAAACCAACTTAATTTCTATTACAGTACAATCTGTAACTATTCCCAACAAAAAAAAAACTGTGGTGTAAATTTAATCTTTTTCTTTAAAATATTTTGCATAATCCACCATATTTTTATCCAAAAAGCCTTAATTTTTTACATGTCCACCATATATGAAAATATGTAGCATCTTCACATCCACATTGCCAACACTTAGGTTGTAAGTTTGGATACATACAGGCTAGTTTTTTTGGATCTAAATGCCATCTATAAAACATTTTATAAAAGTTCTCTCTTAAGTTTTGAGCTTGTGTAAATCTTACATTTCTAACCCATATCTTTTCCCATGTTTCCATCATTATTGGTTCTCCTACATTTTGTGCCCATTTTATCATACAGTCCTTGACTAGTCTATTTCTGAGTCTATTTCCACTAACACATTATACAACCTTTTTATATGCATTTGACTTATGTCTCTTATTTGTTTTATCAAATTCACATCCTGTTGCGAAATACCAATTTTTTGATCTTCTCTCCATCTGGCCTGCAGCTGCCCATATTGAAACCAAGTTCTAATTATTCCTTCTTCTCTTAATTGCTCAATAGGTTTTAATTGTAGTCTGACTCCTTCTTTATAAAGGAGTTCTTTGTATGTAATCTTATCTTGCTTTTGCTCCAAATTTATATTCTCTATCGCGTGTCTGGGTACTGTCCATATTGGTAACTTATCATTTAATTTATATTGATACTTTTTCCAGACACATAATAGAGCATTTCTTAATATATGACTTTTAAAAGTCTTATCTACTTTCTTATCATACAATAAATAAGCATGCCAGCCGTAGACCAGACCATATCCTTCAATATTTAATATCCTTTCATCCGTTAAATTTATCCAATCAGTAATTGCTGAGAGGGCAACGGCTTCGTAGTACAATTTTAAATAGGGCATTTTAAGACCTCCTCTTTCTCTTGTATCTTGCATTATCTTTTGATTTACTTGTGGTTTTTTCCCTGCCCAAACAAATTTATTTATGCCCTTCTGCCATTCCTTCAAATTTTCATCTTTTTTAAGTATAGGTATCATTTGAAAAAGAAATAAAAACCTTGGTAAACATTCATTTTTATTGCGGCTATCCTACCCAGCAAAGACAGTTGTAGTTTTTTCCAATTTTCCATCTCTTTCTGTATTTTTTGCCATAACGGTTCATAGTTGTACTGATATAATTTCGTATTTGTGGTCATAATATAAACCCCTAAATATTTAACCTTCTTAACTATCTCAAATCCCGTTAGCCTTTCTATCTCTTCTTTTTGGCTTCTAGTCA